TCACACTGCACGATTTTAGCCCGATTTTTCACTCGCCGACAGGTTTTGCGAAATCGCCGACAAATGGCCGAAATCGGAGGCAAATCGGTGCTCGTTCACAGGATTTGTAGCGAAAACCTGGCAACCCTGCACCAGACAGAGCTGTCGGCGATTCTTCCTATTGTGAAGTCATGCAATATGAAACCCCCTGTCGCCGATCCATCGTGCAATGTGAACACAGCAGCAACTGAATGCTACCCCAGATAGTCACGCAGTGTGAAAACAACGGCGATCCGACGAGTTTGAAAATCATGCAGTGTGAACTCGGCATAAGAGAGCATATGTTTCAGCTGGACCACAGGGAACCAGCGCAGCCTCCTACATTGTTGTTTGGGATAACGTCAGCTTCCATCGCGCTGCTCTCGTTCGTGACTGGAACCACAAGCAACATAACTTACCAGTTTTGGATATATTGTTTTGAATTTATTGCACCAGTGTGTGTAATACTATGTTGTAGTGTGTGTGTGTTTTTGAAAGCTTGTGTGTGATGTCTGAGGGAAAAGTTTGGTTTTTCAGCAAGAGTGAATGGTTTTGAGTGTAGAGCTTCATTTTGACCTGAAAATAGGATGTTTGGGGAATTGGGTGAGACGTTATGGATTTGTGTTTACTGTTTTGAGAATACGAGGCATAGTTTCAAAAAATGTGTTTAAGCAATCGAGAAAAACTTTAGTAGCCCCGTACTGGCTGGGTCAGCCATGGTTTGCAGACCTGGTAGCCCTACTCGAAGACTCTCCATGGAAGATTCCCGTCCATCAGGGTCTCCTCTCTCAGGCGGGGGGCACCATCTTATACCCCTGTCTGGAGTTGTGGAAACTGAGGGTGTGGCCCCTGAGGGGGCACAACTCTTAGCTTCCGGTCTCTCTACTGAGGTAGTGGAGACCATACTCCAATCCAGAGCTCCCTCCACTAGGAAATCATATACTGCTAAGTGACATCTTTTCACTTCAAGGTGTGACAACCGTCAGTTAGACCCAGTTAATTGCCCTGTTGGCCCAGTGTTGGAATTTCTACAAGATCGGTTTGCCACAGGGTTGTCCCCCTCCACTTTGAAAGTTTACGTGGCTGATATTGCTGCTTACCATGACCCTCTGGGCGAGCAGTCTTTGGGGAGGAACCCGCTAGTAACACGTTTCCTCAGGGGTACCCAGAGGCTGAGGCCTCCGGTACACCCTAGATTGCCTTCTTGGGATTTGGCTGTGGTTCTAGAGGCGCTTTCTAAAGCTCCCTTTGAACCCCTGGAAGAGGTTTCATTGAGTTTTCTCACTATCAAGACTATATTTCTGCTAGCCATCTCTTCCTTGAAGGTGACCTTCAGGCCCTTTCATTGGCCCCATCTTGTCTTGAGTTTGCCCTGGCATGGCCAGAGCCTTTCTGTATCCCAGACCGGGGTATGTCCCCAAGGTGCCCTCGGTTGTTCCACGGCCAGTTGTTCTACAGGCATTCTTTCCTCCTCCCTTTCGGGTAGTGGTGCAACGGATCACAAAACTCACGGTTCAGATCATATATGGAATTTGAGTCACGGATTGGATCATTTTTCGGATCGGCAAAGAAAATTGTTTTTTTTATTAAAATTTACTTTGAGAAGTCAATTCAGTGCCCTGCAGTAGATGACCACCAGGCAACAACCAAACTGGCTGCTCTAATAACCTTCTTGGAGGGTTTAGACCCAGAGGGGTCTGCCCTCAGAGGTCTGATGCTCGTGGCATCAGGACCTCTTTGCTGAAGCCTTCTTTGAGAGAATGATGATCCTCAGATCCACCTTCTCCTTTGAAGACTTCGGCTGAGAGTGCCACCCCAACCCTCACTCTTTCTGCGGGGGAGCTTGGAAAGCAACACTCTGTTTTTGAATGGTGTGATATGAGGTGCTGGTAGACGGCTCAGGCTGCTC